CGGCCGGCCGGCCGCGCGGGGACCCCCCACGTCCCCGGCGCTCCGGGCCACGGGCTCGGAGAGGAGGGCGCTCATCTTGTTGGTCGCCCGCTGCGCTTCCCCGGGAGGATGGAGCGCGGCACTGCGCCGTGCGCGAACCCCAGTTGGCACTGGCCGCTTCCCCGCCGCCGTGCCCGGCCTAGTGCCAGCCGGGAAGCCTTCGCCGCCCCCGGCCTCCCCCAGCCTCGCTCGGGTCGGGAAGGCCCGCAGGGACTCTTCTTCGGGGAAAAGTCGGTGGCGACTGCAGAGAAAAACCTGCTCGCCCACCGGCGCGCGGGCAGCCGCCACAGTGCGTCAACAGGCGTTTTTAACCTAAAGCCTGGTTCGGGGCGGGCTGGGGGAGACTGGGAGCCGGGACTGCGCTGGCCGAGGCCCGAGGTGCTTGCGGCCCGCCTTGGAAATCAATAGATCGGGGCGGCCTGCGTTTGCTTTAGCAGCTGCGAAGGCGCACAGGTGCACGGGGGAGGGGGCTGGCGGCGCCACCAGCGATCGTCACCGCCGGAGCCTCGCCGTGGGTGCCCAAATTCGTTTACTTGGGAATTGCGTAAGCCAGCTGCTCTCCCCATACCAGGTCAGCGAGAATTGCGCGGGCTCCTAGCCCGCGGCCGCCTGGCTGGGCCCACCGCTCCAGCCTGAACGCCCACCACTCCCTGCCTTGCACTTGACGTTCCAGCCACGTTGGACTGTTGATCTCCTGTAAACCAAGTTGTTTCTGCTGGTCGGGCTGACGCTGGCCCGCCTGCCTGGCTTGCCTGGCCGTCTCCCTTTACCCAACTGATGCTACTACTAGTGTTTTCCAAACTCAGCTGTTACCTTACTGCGTGCAGCTGCCTCATCCTCCAGTACCTCATCCTCTTCCTGGCTCCTTGGCTTCGTGTTTACAGGTCTGTGACTCTGCTTAGTTTTTGCACATGGTTTTGTTTATGCTTCTGTGAGATTTTTTTTTTTTTTTTAAGGCTGGGGCCTTATCCTGTCCTGTCATGCACACACTAGGTATTCAGTAGAGGAAGTGGTCCCTGAGGCTCCCTGCCACTGCTGAAGGATGGTGGTGGACTGCAGGCCCAGGCTGGTTTCCATGGTGCCCGGTAGTGGTGCCCTTAGGAGGAGGCCCAAGTCCTTCAGATGAACATGTGGATACGAGGGAGCTCTAACAGACCCCTAGGATGAGGTGGCCTGGGCTTTTAATTAAGATTCAGCTTGTTTTGTGGAGTAGAGGCCTTTCTCCAAAGAATAATGTTACATTAGCAGATTACCAGGCTTCATGACTTGTAGGTGGACGCTGGTTCCCTTTTCTGAGTCACACAGCCGTCAGTATGACCTCCCCTGAGTCCGGGGGATGGAAGATGGATATAGAGAGGCCAGCCTCCTTGGAACCTAGCATAACTTGATTATTTTGTGACACATTCATGGTGGGCACATGTGTTTCCAACCATGTAGTATCTAGAGGTCAAATCCTGTTTAATTTCACTTTTGTTTTGCCGACCTATCACACACTGAGTGTCAAAAGGAGGAAGTTAACATTTGGGGCTAGGCTTTTTTTCTATGTAGGAACAGGTAGCAGTAATTAGTGGAGAGTGGAATATGATGTCGATGAACCTTATCTGTAAAGCAAAAGTGGGTAGATTGAATAAAGGTCTTTGCTGGCTCTAATTTTCTGTACTTTCAGGATTTTAATTCCTGGTTGTTGTTTGACCAAGCCGCAGACATTGGATAAGAGACTAGTTAGTCATTGTAGGGATGATTGGAGTGAGAAGCAGTCCTGGAAGCTGAAGATTGGCTTTAGGTCTCCATCACTAAATGGCTGGTGACTCTGAGCAATCACCTAGCTTCCTGAGCATTGTTTCTTGTATGTGACAAAGAAGTGAGAGGATTTATGAAAGATCCTCCCAACCCTACATTTCCACTTGTCAATTTAAAAAATGTCTACGTTAAGCAGGGTGCCTGTGATGCAAGCCTGTAATCCTAGCTACTCAGGAAGCTGAGATCTGAGGATTGCAGTTAGAAGCCAGCCTGGGCAGAAAAGTCCCTGTGAGACTCTTCCCTCCAATTAAGCACTCAAAAACTGAAAGTGAAGCTGTGGCTCAAAGTAATGGAGTGCTAGTTCTGAGCAAAAGAGCTCAGGAACTGTGCCCAGGCCCTGTGTTCAAGCCCCACAACTGACAAAAAGACTAAAGAGCACTAACCTGGACTGGGAAGGTGGCTCAGTGGTAGAGTTCTTGCCTTGCATGCATGAGGCCCTGGGTTTGATTCCTCAGCACCACATAAGCAGAAAAAGCTGGAACTGGTGCTGTGGCTCAAGTGGTAGAGTGCTAGCCTTGAGCTGAAGAGGTGAGGGACAGTCCCCAGGCCCAGAGTTCAGGCCCCATGACTGACCCCCTTCCCCCCAAAAAAAGAGCACTAACCTTGGAGTCAACTTCTGACTTCGTAACCAAGCTCTGAAGCTCACTAGCTATGCTGTTGACTCAATCCAATGCTTCAATTTCCTCTTCTATTCAGTAGGGTCATCTGCTTTTGATACCTCAGAAGGCTGTTGCAAGGGAACTTTATCTCTCCACCTTTTGAAGTATTGGTTACTGCTTGAGTTATTGAGACTTTTTGCCCTCCTTGTGATTGGAGAGAAGCCTGACTGTGAAGTGAAGACAGCTTGCGTTGACTTTGAGTCTCCCTTTGTGCTGTGCATTGGCAGTATTGAGGCTGAGGAGCATTGGCCTGGTTTGCATTTACAGGAAGGCTGAGGAGCAAGCAAAGCATCAGGCCACAGCTCAGCAAGATGGAAGCTGGAGCCAGGATGAATGGGGATGCTGTCACAGATGTGGTATCTGTAGGAGCTGCCTTCCCACCTTATTTGTCATAGAGTGGGAGGAGAATGAATACACACGCACACACACACACACACACATGCATGTGTATAAGAAATAGTAAAAGTGTAAGTTTATCATTTATATGTTGAATTCTGGGAAGTTCCCATTTTATCTAAATGTTTTCAAAAATTTCTATAATGAACATGTATTTCTTAAATCAAACTAATAAAGTGTTTTTCTTTAAAACTTGGAGGAAATCAATTTTTAACCAATGTTTTTATTTCATCTTCTATTTCTCATTTGATTAAAGAACTAATAAAATATTTAAAATTAGGATTATGTCTTCTCTTTCAAATCAGTGTTAGATTTCTATGTCTTTCACCTATGTTTTCATAGCTTGAAGTAGCTGGGATGTGGAAAATATCTATCTAAATTCTTTGTATTCATTTAAAAAACGATTGAGGTTTATATGGTTTAGAAAATGTTAAACACATCCAAGTATGAAAACATTAGTTTTATTCCAGGTGCTGGTGACTCATACCTATAATCTGAGATCTGAGGATCATGGTTTGAAGCCAGCCTGGGCAGGAAAGTCTGTGAGACTTATCTCCAATTAATCACCAGAAAACTGAACGTGGTGCTGTGGCTCCAAGTGGTAGAGCTCTAGCTCTGAGAGGAAAAGCTCAGGGACAGAGCCCGGGCCCTGAGTTGAAGTCCCATGACCCATCAAAAACAACGAAAATAAAAAACCCTGAAAACACCAGTTTTATTGTCTCTATTTACATGTTGTTTTTAAAATAGGTTGTTACTATTGACCTGTAAAATTCTACTTCCAGGAATTCATCCTAAGGAAATAATTGGACAAGTACATGAAGATACAGGAATTTTCATCATTTTTTGTGTAATAGGAAAAATGGTAGCCAACTTAAATATTCAGAAATAGAGGATTGGCTTAAAAGATGCAATTTTTGACATAAATGCATGATTGAACTATAAGTGCATTCTTTTGTTCTTTCTGTTAAAAAGCCTGTTTTTCAAACACACACCACCAATCATTTTTTT